CAATGCCACTATTCATTCACTCTCACATTCACACACTGGTGGAGGCAAGCTACGGTTGTAGCCACAGCTGCCCTGGGGCAGACTGACAGAAGCGAGGCTGCCATATCGCGCCATTGGGTACACATAGATGAGAAAAAACTTATTATGTAATGAGACAACAGGGTTATGCTGTATGTTGTGTGTGGTGTGGCTGATTGGATGAATGTTTGAGATTAAACTGGCTGTTGATTTGTCTTTTATTACTAAGCTGAGCCTGCCAGTTGGGTGTGGTATGATTTATCCCCCTGAGATGAAGAACACGTGTCATGATTTAAGAAGGCCTTTCCTTTCCTTTCCTTTATTCTTTTTATTTTGTTACTTTCACAGTGCACTGAAAGTTTTGTTTAATATTCTTTGTCATCTAAGCAGATCTGAACATTGAATAGGAAGAACTACACACCATGTTGTTGCGAACAGTTGCAAAGTGAGTTTCTCCAAAATTAAAACGGGCTCAAGAGAAAGCCACTTATTTTGGGACAATTAAGGAAACAAGTCCCTGTCCAAAAGGATTCAGCGAGGCAATCCAATCTAAAATTCTTCTTTTGTCGTTGTTTTGCTGAGGGTGGAAACGAAATGCGACGATAATTTCCACTATCAGCAAAAGAAAGAATCAATGAATGAATGAATGAGTGAAAATAAAAAACAATGGGGAACTGACTGACTGGTAAAAGCTGGTAGAAGCTGACAAGACTGACTGACTTAACACCACTATGTGAAGTTAACCCCCATCCACGTGACAAAGGTGTGGATGTATCTGTGTGTGTCTCTGTTGCAGGAGCAGAAGGAGACCACAGGAGGAAACTTGGGTTACATGACTATGTGAACTCTGAAAATTTAACCGTTTTAACTGTAATTTGTCTGGATGTTTTTGAATTTACCGTGGGTGTGTTATTCACTACCTTGTGTTGCTCACAGAGATCACTGTGAGAAAGAGTGTATACACCTGCACAGCGCTAACATTTACATTTCTTTTCTACAACAGAGGGTTATCATGTGATTTGATCATGTGATTTACAGCAGGACACAACTTAATGTTTTTCTACCACAGGATTACTGAGATTTTGTGTGAAGGAAACTGTGGTTACAGGCTATATGTTGGTGATGAAATTACACTGTATTGTTGGGAAAATGTTGGAGAAAATGTGAATGTTACAGGGGAGAAAGTGAATACAGTGTGATACTGTGTTTGAAACTAGTGTTGCTTCTTTTTACAGCAGAGTGTTAACTTTATGACCTTTTACAGCACCTCTGGAATCTGGATGACCGACGCCTGACCACCAGGATGAACCGTGTGTTTGGCTAATGTTTGTTTTCCTTTAAGAGTGCTTATAGAGGATTCAGCACAGACAGACAAGTGACAATTGAACAGATGTGCAGAGATGTCACTATAACCTGCTCAGCTCTCACTCCCTGTCCACACTCCCCTCCTCAACTCACCTGGAATCTCCAACAAGACTCTCACAACAAAATAGAGCAAAACACAGATGGAAGCTTTACAACTAAAATCCAGCAGAACATCACTCTGTCAGACACACATGATGGAAAGAAGATCAGCTGCTCTGCCAGATATCCTGTGAACCAAGGAAACGACACCAAGACAGCAGAGACAGAAGAGACTCTCAGTGTTTCATGTAAGACAATCAGAGTTTGTTGTTGAACTGAATCCCATAGGACAACATGATTTATGGATATTTTTCTTTTTCTCCAGATTCTCCTAAAGACACCTCAGCATCCATCAGTCCATCAGGTTTGGTGTCAGCAGGCAGCTGGGTGAAGCTGACCTGCTCCAGCAGAGCCAAACCTCCAGTCAGCAGCTTCACCTGGTTCAAGAAGAGCAGAGATGGAGCTGTGAAAGTATCTGAAGGAGAGATTTACAGCTTCAATGTAACAGATGGAGGAGTTTATTACTGTGTGGCCACTAATGATCTGGGTAATCAGACATCAGCAGAGATTCATGTGGCTATTAAAGGTGGCTCATGCCACTGAACAGTTTTATGCTATTATCTAACTTTTTCTTCTTTGTTTATTGAGTAACTCATTAAATCTCTTGAAGTGTTTTGTTTTTTCTAAATAGTGCTGTACAAAGTGTAAAATTAAACATCATGGTAATATAACGGAAAAGAAAAAGAAGAACCTCACGATCTGTTTAACATTGTGTGTTGTTTCATCTTGATATTGGTTTTCTACCAGGATTCCCACTCTGGTCATTTCTTGGAGGAATCCTTGGGATGATGTTACTTTGCTTGATCATCTTTGTTTGGTAAATATTACATCACATTAGAAAACATGATGAGTTACTGTCACTGACATGGTAGCTGCACGTGAAATTATCTGTTTACTCACAAATATATTTAACCTAAAACAGAGGATAGTTAGTTTAACAGCCTCTTATATCTTTCAGGTGCTTAAAGTCAAAGCATCAAACTCAACAACAGACTCATGTAAGAAAATACTCAACTTCTCTGTAATTTACTGAACTGTGTTCAGAAAGTTATTTTCTCTAGAACCTCCACCAGAGTCTGCTCACTAGATTCAAATTAACCTTTCTATTTGTTTCTATTTCATAGAATCAAAAGTGAAGAGTCGGTTGTTGAAGAACCAGCAAGTAAATCAGAAGGAGAAGAAGAAAACATCCATTATGGAGAGATCAGCTTCTCTGTGCTGAGAAATGAAGCATCCTCTGACTCAGTGCAGGACAGAGGACAGCAGCAGGATACAGTGTATGCACAGGTGAAAGTCAACAAGCCAAAAAACACAGAGCGTGCTGATGGCCAAGGGGAACTGTACGCTGAGGTCAAGAAAAAGTTATAACATTACATTAACACAGTGTATTAAAAAACACACACACACAAAAATCAAAATTTTTATTAACTTAAAAAAAATTACATCCTGCAGCTTTTTATGTTCAACTTTAATTTCACTGCAGTCCAATAAAGAAATAATTCACATGACAGCAGAGAAGACTGAACATTAAAAACTTTTACACAATGTAGCTATTTTTATTATTATTTTAGTTATTATCATGTTCATACAGTATTTGAATGCTGGCATGCTGTGTGTGCTCTTGTATGATTTAATATAAATTAATGTAAGACTTCTTCACAGGTAATTTGTTTAAAAGACTGCAGGGAAAATGGCATCAAAACACGTTTGTAAATTTATTAAACACATTAAATAAAATATGTTTATTCAATGTAATGTGTTTTTGTGTGATATTTAATATAATTATTCTAAAAGTTTACTCTATATTGTTAATGATATGAAACGTGGGATGTCTTTTTCATATCTAAATAAGTGGATAAAAATTTATTTTGTCTTCAAATTTCACTCTTTTTTTATATATTAGGGTCGACACTTTTTGTAGTGCCAGTTTCTCTTTTAATGGATTTGTTTTATTGTTTGAGGAGGGTTTTTTTTTTAAAGAAAAGCTGGTCTATAGGTCATATTTATTTATTTACTAAGAGTTCACAGTTAAAGTGTCCATGTCTGCAAGAAGAGAACACACATCTCAGAGATCAGCAGTGTTAATATCTGCATGCTGACACAAACATCTGTATAGTACTCAAGTAATGTTAACATTTGGATGTGAATCCTATTGCTAACTTAGTTAACATGTTAGGATCCAAATCTCTGACTGGCCTTAACATTTGCTGATAGCAGATATAAAATAATCACTATATTGGGCTTTTACCAATAATCAACTGTCTGCTCTACAAAAACCACACTGTAGTGTTACTGTGAATTGTTTGTGCTGAAGGCACCACTCCACATATGATGAAAGATAAAGTGTCTGTTTGTGGCTGATTTACTTCACTGGTGAAGAAGAACTGATGAGTTAATTTATATAAACAAATGGAGACATTTGTGTTTCATGCTGTGTTTTCATAGGTGATGCAGCCTGTTCGGTGATGAGTTTTGTGACACTGCAATCTGTGAACTTAACTTAACAAATATTTTACTGAGTCTCCTCTGTATTGCAAATCTCATTTCAGTCATTCACAGTCTGACAGATCACTGCAGACAGAGATACTTTACACTTAACCTGTTGACACTAATGAGAAAAGGAGAAGCCAATATATTGAACCACAAAAGTCTGGCTTTCAAGATCTGCTTTTAAATGAGCAACATCAAACATTAAAAAAAAAACAAAGAAAGATCTTTGAAATTAAACTGCTCATTGGTTGCATTTTAGAACTTGCAATGTTTTAATAATTTGGCTGAAAAGCAACATCTGTACAAACATTTTTTTAAAAAAGAATCCCTTTTATTATATTTACATGACATATAAAAAAAAATAAGAAAAAATGTTCTTAAATGGAAAAACAGTACGGTAAAAACGAACAGCAATGTCAAATACAATAAGATTGACATGCAATCTTAACTAAAGAATAAAATCACAGAGACCTTACTTTGTCTTCTTGGTAGAAGGTAAAAGAAAAGGGCTGATAGCGTTCATTCTCCTGGATGAGGCAGATTGTGTGTTTTGTGTGTATTTCTGCATGTTTAAGGGCGCCAGTAAATGGGTGAGTTTATATGTGGTGAAATATCCGGCGGCTGCTGTGAATAAAGGTGAGAATATCAATGTTGTGTTTGCCCTGGGCTTCGATGCAGAAAACAAGATGTTATGATTATGTAGATGTTAATAATAATATTATTGTTGTTAATAATTCAGTGTCTGACAGCCCCAGATCAGTGGCTCAGATATTAGCCCTGCCACTCGAGAAGGTACTCCCCTATATAATTAATGAGGATCAAACAGGTTTTGTTAAAGGCCTCCATTGTTAAATCCTCTGATAACATGAGGAGACTTCTCAATGTTATTCATCTTTCACAAAATTCTGATGAGCCATTCCTTGTTCTCTCTCTTGATGCAGAAAAAGCATTTGATCGCGTTGAATGGTCATATCAATTTTTTTGCCTAGAGGAATTTGGATTGGGTGAAATCTTTGTAAATTAGGTGAAAGTTCTCTATAACTCCCCAGTCGCAACGGTTATAACTAACAGGATGCACTCCAGCAATTTTGCTCTCCCGTGTGGGAATAGGCAGGGCGATCCTCTTAGTCCTCTACTCTTTGACATAGCCATAGAATGTCCCCTGTTTAATTCATTTGTTAAAGAGATCAGTGAAGTCAAAACACTCTCCAACAATCCTATTACCCTATGCTCTGTCAAGGCCTAGAGGATTGCTCCGTGCTTTAGAGGGTCGGACCCATTTGACATCTCCCTGGCTCCTGTTATGAATGGCCCTTATTTCTTGCCTGGATGTCTGGACAGGGGTTTTGTGGTCTGGTCTAATCTGGGGCTGGTTAACTTGGGTGATCTGTTTAGAGGCGGACCCTTCTTTCCTTTCAGCAGCTCCAACAATGTTTTGGCATTCAAAATGTGGAATTCTTTAGATACCTGCCACTGAGGCACTTTATAATTAATGACACCACCCTATTGTTGGACCCTACTAGGTCCGCAGTGGAGGATGCTTTGTCCCCCCAACAGTCTGGAAAATCCTTCCTTTTACAAGGTTCTTAACTCTAGCTCAGCCCCTCGCTTCCTGGCTGCTAAACAGGCCTGGGAAAGAGCCTAGGCTGCTCAATAAATGATCCAGACTGGCAGGAGATCTGGGCCTGTGCCTCTAAGATATCTGTCTGTAATTGGGCTAAATCTATTCAGTTAAAAATTGTTCATCGGGCATACATCACACCCTCTTTAAAAAGTAAAATAGATGTAAACTCCTCCCCTTTATGCTGGAAGTATAATGCAGAGAAGGGTGACTTTGTGCATTGTTTTTGGTCATGTGTGAAAATTCAATATTTCTGGTCAGATGTTGCAAAGGTATGTCGGCGTGCTGACGCCTCTCCCAATCTTTTTATCTACCTGGTGAAAAACCACAACGAACGACTCGAGACAGACTTCTTCAATAAATCAACTTCTTTATTTCAACCCCTGCGCAGAAGCTCAGCATAAAGCGTCTTGCAGATTCCAAGGGCAGTCCTTCGAACTGTTACATTTATAATATTCCAAAGTTCCTTATTTACCTCCCACCTTTCCTGTTATTCTGTTATCACGTTCGCCTATACGTCATACACAGTTTTGATCAAAACAGCTTCTTCCTCATCTCTCGTCTTCTACCTTTCCTTTTAAGGTATGGCCCTACCTTTAACCCCTTTCTTAATTGCATATCTTAATTGTGATATGTGTGTGTGTGATGTACATGTCTTTGTCTGCAATGTGTGTGTGTTCCTGTCTGCACTGTAAGGGTGTGTGTGTGGGGGTCATGTCAAGTGTCATGAGTGTGCGCTTTGTAGGTGTCAAGTGTGTGTTGTGCCGGGTGTTTACGCTCTCCTCCTCAGTCTGCTTTTTGTCTATACTTACCTAATGTGTTAGACTGTTCTTAACGCTGCCCTTTTGCCCCCCTCTTATCTATTGCAACTTCTGGGCTATTTCTATGCATCTTTTTTCTGTAATGTTGCTTCAACTATTCTTGCTCCCAAGGTCACACAGAGGCCTGCTTAAAAGTATAATGTTTAAACAGTATAATGCTAAAAAGCTATATAATGCTATATAATTCCAGAGGTACTTTCAGTTATTATCAGCTATGTTGTTCCTCTGGACCCTCTCTGTCTTATACTGGGAGTAATGGACAATCTGATTCTCAAAGGCAAGCACAAGAGACTGTTCCAGCTGTTATCTTTTGCAGCCAGGAAGAATAACCTGCTCCTCTGGGGATAATCATCAGATTATGCCTGTGTGTTTCTGTTCTCAGTATTCAGTGTTCACTTCATGTTTTGTTTTCGTGCCAGCAATAAAGCTGAGGTTTTGAGTTGTATTCAGTGTCCAAGTCTCGCATTTGGATCCTCCTCTCCATCCGCCTGCACACAGAGCCCTGACACCAGGAGAGCAAACACAGCTCAGAGTATTAAAAAAAACAAAATGAACAAAACAAGGAAAAAGGCTCATGGTACTCAACCACTCTATTGTGTTTTACTTACATATTTTTAGCTATAGTTGCTGACAATAAATAATACTGGTATTATCTAGTGGCTCAAATGAAGAATGACTCATTAAATACAAGCAGAAACATTTAAACAAAATGAGGAAGTACATCAACAGCAAGTTGCAGACACATTTTCTGTAACCTGTGTACGTACACAATGTGTATGTACGTTTCTGCAGGACAAAGAAGAACACAGAAAATCTGAGATACAAATACAAATGTGAATGAGAAAAAGGTTAGTGTGTGAGTGGGTCAAGTCAATCTAGAGGAGGTAGGAAGGCAGAAGCGGATGCTTAAAGTGAGAGCAGAGTGCATGATAGGAACATAAAAATCAGACTGAGTGAATAAAAAAAGACAGAAAACCAAAAACATCACAGGTCTGTTTGCTTTGTCATTGAAACATCTAAACAGAGATGTGTTTCAGTCGCTCTGTTTCTGCTGAAATGACACACTGACTTTTACTTTGTCATTTCTCCTCTGTAGCAGTCTGATCATTTTTTACATTTTAATAATTGTGTGTATATATATATTAGGGGTGCAACGATACACAAAATTCACGGTTCGGTTCGGTTCGATACTTTGGTGTCACGGTTCGATATTTTTTCGATAAAAAAAAATGTTCATGCCTTTTTAATTTGTCATTTATTAAATTTTCACGGCACATTCCGCACCACATCTCTGTGCGTTCATCATTTGTTTGAAGCCAGCTCACCTCCTGCAACTACTTTTCCGAGAATACGTGCTTCTTTTGTGGTTCGGACTCCTTCTGACATTTCTTTGGAGGTGGAGGAACACCAAAGTAATTGCTTAAAGGAGCTTCTTCAACATCTTTAAGAGTTCTAAACAAATGTCTGTCCTCCTCCTGAAAATCTTATGTACGCAAACACGCGTTGCAACTTCTTATCTTGTGCGTGTTTTTTATTTTGACAGCGAATGCGCACCTGCGGACCACTTATGTGCAGCCCTGGTTATTTAGCTCGTCATATTGCAGCCACAGAAATTATTTTGTCCATGAAACCATAAAGCTGCACTTTCTTTTTGCCTTATAGTCTGATTTGTCATAACTTTTCCGTTTTGTGGTAAGCTTTTCTTTGGCTGTCACTTCTTCACCCTGACCTGTCTTATTTGGCTCAGCAGAACTAAAATATATATCCTGCTGCTTTTACACACACTCACATAAGCTCAGCGATTCTCTGCGCGATCAACCTCTCACATGTTTAAGCTTGCTGCGGGAGATTTCACTTGTCATGTTTGCATAGTAAGCTAACGATTAATAAGACGATGTCAGAGGAATTGGTGCACAAATTATCGTCACTCACAGATCAGTGCTGTCGCTCTCTATACACAGTTCGCACGATTGCAAAGTGAAAGCAAAAAACAAGCGCAAATTCAAACGCGATTTCAATATGTCACATATTGACAGTGGCTCACCGATGCCAATGACATAATTACCCAGCTACATTTCCGAAAGAATGCAAAAGCATTGACATATATTTTTCCTTCCTACGATAGCCCGACGGGCAGGGCAGAGATAGATTTTGGTAGCCCGACTGGAAAAATTTTGCGAGCCCTGTATCTGATTGAGGAATCACTCATCTTTGGAAAAGAGAGTTTATTACAGAGAAATGGCTCTTTCCAAAATAAAAGCTATACTATACGCTTCTTCTGGGCTATATTCTCAGCAGCATATTAAACATATCAGGTCCCCATAAGGAGAATCATGTGCTAACGGCTGTCTAAATGACTCGGGTAAAGTTTGTAGCATGCGTGCTTGTTGTTTTTGTCTGCTTCCACTTGTCTTTGCACTAGGATGATGTCGGAGTAAATGTGCAGTCATATTCGTTGTGTTCCCACTAGTGCTGTCAGCGTTAATCTGAAATGACGTTAACGCCACAACACGGCAAATCTCCGTTAACGAGCTACCGCGGATCGCCCCGTGCGTGGGGCTGGACGGCCAACACGTTAACGAGCTAACTGCGCTAACACACTAGCTCCCACCCATGTAATTGAGCATTGCGTGGCACATCCAACATACTGTTTTACTTTAGTCCATGACGCTTACCTTCAGGGTCATACGTCACATGAAAACCAAAATAGTTCCAAACGCCAGATCTGAATGAGGATGGGGGAGGTTCAATTTGCCATGTTGCAAGGAGAGCTTAACTTCTGTCTCGCTAGCTTGCCCTGCGCTCAGTGAATCTGCACTCGACTACTCCGCCTAGGCTGCACTGTCGAGCGCAGATCCACTGAGCGCTCAACACAGACAGCATCGTCAGAAGGAAAGTTGATAAAATAAATTAAAAATTTTGTATTGTTCGATACATATGCGTACCGAACCGAAAGCACTGTATCGAACGGTTCAATATCGATACGAGTATCGTTGCACCCCTAATATATATATATATATATATATATATATATATATATATATATATATATATATATATATATAATTACAGAGTGCATGAATTATAAAAAGATAATTTCTAGTTTGATATTTTATTTGTGTAATCATGTATTTTCTTTATACAGGTGATGAGTTTTCGTGACAGTCCAGTCTGTGAACATCATGACAGGCATCATGTTACTGAGTCTCCTCTTTATTCCAAGTGAGCCGTCTCATTTCAGTCATTTACAGTCTGACAGATCAGTGCAGATAGAGAAACTTTACAAAGTCACACATTGTATACTGAAGGAAAACTGTCTACTGTTGGAGAAAAAATAAACACATGTCCTAAACTAATTTGTCATAATTGTGTTTAGATATACATTTATGTTCCTGATTACAAACAATTTCAATATGTTGTGAAAGTTAATCACACTGAGCTCAGTCTTTTCACATTATTGATTTACAAACTGTGTTTAATGTAAACCACAGATTCTCCTTGGAGGCCCAATATTACAATCCCAGGTGATCTGAAGGAGAAGGAGTCTGTCACTATAACCTGCTCAGCTCTCACTCCCTGTCCACACTCCCCTCCTCAACTCACCTGGAATCTCCAACAAGACTCTCACAACAAAATAGAGGAAAACACAGATGGAAGCTTTACAACTAAAATCCAGCAGAACATCACTCTGTCAGACACACATGATGGAAAGAAGATCAGCTGCTCTGCCAGATATCCTGTGAACCAAGGAAACTACACCAAGACAGCAGAGACAGAAGAGACTCTCAGTGTTTCATGTAAGACAATCAGAGTTTGTTGTTGAACTGAATCCTATAGGACAACATGATTTGTGGGATATGTTCTTATTTTTTTCTCCAGATTCTCCTAAAGACACCTCAGCATCCATCAGTCCATCAGGTTTGGTGTCAGCAGGCAGCTGGGTGAAGCTGACCTGCTCCAGCAGAGCCAAACCTCCAGTCAGCAGCCAGCAAGTAAATCAGAAGAAGAAGAAAACATCCATTATGGAGAGATCAGCTTCTCTGTGCTGAGAAATGAAGCATCAGATCAGGACAAAGGACAGCAGGAGGATACAGTGTATGCACAGGTGAAAGTCAACATGTCTGCTCTCACATCTTTTGTTTTTAGGTAACTGTTAAAGTGTATAAATAGATGTCGCAGCTGTCCAATAACGAACTAGTTTACATGAAACTCAGGAAGTTCAGCAGAAGACTCAAAACCTCCACATACTGTAGCATTTTTAAAATTAGTTTTCTTATCATCATGTTCATACACTATTTATCTACTGGTGCCCTGCCTTGCTATAGGGTTTTTTTTTTCTCCGAAAAGTAGTACTTTGGGGTTTGTTATTCCTGATCTGTCTTGTAATTAAAGCTGATTTTAAGTTTGTTTCTTGTTTTCTGAGTCCTGCATGTTGGCTCCTGTCTGCCAACTTTGACAATAGCCACCAAAATTGGGTTGCTCGGTTGTTGAAAAACTACATGCTTTGTGTTTGCAGTACAGTCACAGAATTCTCAGTAAGGGTTTTGTGACACAGTAAATCCTGGGTAGGTGTATTACAAAGGGTAGTGTGGTATGTTGAGCTTAAAGTCAGTTTTCAGTGTCTTGAAGATGATGTTTTATTCTGCCCAGATCACCAAAGATATTCATGGTTAACATAAGCTGGTCCACAGTGGGTTAGGTTCAAAGTTTGGTCTAAAATTGTGTGAATGTTTCATATGTTCCCTAATTCTTGAAACATTAGTATGTGATACAGATCACAAAAAATGCCTGGGATGGCCTCAGAGAGCTGAAAGAGTCAGAGCCCAAAGCAAAATTAGTTTTGCCTGTTGATAATACGGAATAATGATCATTCACACTCCTATTATAAACTTATTTCATTTTCTAAGTTGTAAAATTGTAATCCACAGTCATGAAAGCATACAACAGATTTGTAAATGTGAAGAATTTTTTTTAATAATGTTTAAAAAAAAATTGAAGCAATTTCCCTTACAGAAAAGTGATGCATAAAACCTCAAATTCAATTTTCAGCCTGGAAAGGTTTTTACCCATCTCTGGTTTTTAATCTAAAATGGTATTAAGGTCAGCTACAACTTGGATAATGAATGTCACTGGCTCACTAAATGTAACAAAATACACAAACATGAAATAGATAAACGTATTTCTTCTGGGGCGATTGTGGGAGTTCGCCTTGTAATTGGAAGGTTGCCGGTTCGAGCCCCGGCTTGGACAGTCTCGGTCGTTGTGTCCTTGGGCAAGACACTTCACCCGTTGCCTACTGGTGGTGGTCAGAGGGCCCGGTGGTGCCAGTGTCCGGCAGCCTCGCCTCTGTCAGTGCGCCCCAGGGTGGCTGTGGCTACAATGTAGCTGCCATCACCA